ATGATTTCTTAGTAGTTTTACGTTCACTATGACCAGACAGCTAAGTGCTTGTTTTAACTGGTCACACAGAATTTTCCCACTAATACATTAAAACTAAAAAAATTGTCTTTTTATTTTCATATTAAATAGGTTTTTGCAAGTCTTCAATTACAAGAGGTAAAATAGTTTCTGTAATTGTAGCCTTGCTAAACCTATATCGGTATTTAAATTCCCTCTTGCTAAACATTTCTATTGGATTTCCTGCATCCCTTATATATCGTTTTGGAACTCGAAGACGATTTTCTTCTTCCACATGGTCCAAAAAATCCTTAAACTCATCTAACATATCCAAAATGACGTTTGCTCGTGTATTCTGTGGATTCCGCTCTCAAGAGCCCAAGACCGTCTTGGCGTCTCGAGACGCAACTATAAATACGGGCCCTAGTGTCTCCACATGTTGCAGATATCTGCGTCGATTGTCAGTTTTCTACAGAAAGCCGCGCGGAAACATGTCATCGGCAATAACAGAACTTGATGAAGATGCATTCGCATTTTGGGGCTTGATGATATGCTTAAAGAAAAAGAAGTCACATAGGGTGTGGTGTAAAGACTGGCTTCTAAAACGGAAGTCATACTCTCATATAAATTTATTAAATAAATCTTTTGATTTGGTTTGCCAAAGGCAAGTTTTATTTCATTGTGTAAACTCTTCCAATTGCTCACGGTGTCCACTTTGATCTTGTTCCGACATGTTTTAGGATTAGGACCTTTCCACGGACGTGTGCGTATTCTGAGTTTGTCTAATAGCCTCTCATAAATTGAGCTATCGTTCGGATCGATCGTTGTGGTCTATTTGCTGTTCCTGTATTTACCACTTGGCAAACATGATACGATGATACAAAGATGATACTCTGTGTTGCTCTCAGCAGTTGAAAGGAGCAAAGCGACAGGTCAAGACTTTTGTTCTGTTACTTTTAAACAAATACTGTATTTCAATGTTTCGGGATATAGTAGCTTGTGGTCTTTTTCTTCTATAATACCAGATTATAATTTATTGTATATAGAGTTGGAATGAATGGAAGGGGTACCTCTCTTAGGCACTGAAGATCATATGGCAAGTTTCGGAATATTTTTATTTTCTCGGTATGCACTTGATTAAGTTTAAAATTTAGCTTACGCATTTTTAAATCCACAGTTTGATGTTCTGAAACTTTAATTGTATTTTTCCTAACTAGAATGGTGTTTTTTTCATGTGACGGACGGTTGAATGGCCACCATTTTCGATTTTAGCCATACTACTGAACCGAATTGAATGAAGTTAGTACCCGCAGAATTTAATTCTCTTTGACTAATTTGACTAATAATTAAATATTCGCTAAAATGCAACGTTTCAGCAGAACTATAGATGAAAATATAAAGAGTCCAAGAATTTTACCATCTTTTGGGCCTCCTGGTTCGAGCGGCTGTAGAGCAACCCTGAAAACCTATAGTAGGAAATTACTCTTTGACATCAAATGGACCAATCAAAACAATAATTAACTTTCCTACACTTTTTTCCAAGTGACTCTTCTAATTTGATTGGCTTCATATTGAAAACTTTAAAATATAGGTTAATACTTATATAAAGGTATAATTAAGGTCTTTTTATATTGTTCTCCAGTTAAACAATATTTAAAAAGATCAAACAGAAATTAAAATCGCCATGTAACTATTTTGGATTGCTGAATAGATATGTATATGTATTTAATAATGATGTCTCTTTAAATAAATAACCTCATTAGAATATATTTCCAGTATTTTATATGTACATATTTTATACACCTCCTTTTCCATAGGTTTTCGTACTGATTAAACTTTATATATTATTAATGTAATAAACATATTCTAAAATAAATTTAAAAGATATTGTATGTGAGTCCCCATCTTCTAAAATTAATTTTAATCTTAAATCTAAAATCAGTCGAGAATTTGAGCTATCCTCTGTAGCAGAAAAATGGCGTTTATTACATTTATTATTATTATTAATTATTATTTATTATCATAAGAATATCTTTATGTTTTATGAGTTTTTAATTATGCATAACAAAAATAACTATCTGAATATCTTAAGCAATCTTATTGTTACCAAGAAGATATTCAGAAAGTTTAGAATTTTTATATGGAGGAAATATTAATTTTCTTTTATAACATCAAAATATTTAAGCAATTAGAAGATAAGGTTATAGTATTTTGAGTTAAATCATAGTTGATATTAAAGTCAAAATAAAATTACATTATCTTGTAAATTGCGTTTATTTATCAGCACCTCTTGTTTCAGTTTTAGTTTCTTCAACACTCAGTTCCAGTTTCTCTGTACCGGGTGTACCACTAAGAATAGCTCTCGACTATATCTCGGAAAGTATTAGCCGTAGGGACTGCGGAAAAAAATATTTATAACTAAAGGGGCTATGATAAATTGCTGGAAATTATTTTCAAGTTTGTAAAACGGCCGCTAGGTGGCGCAACTGCTATGGAAAATAAGAAAATATATTTTTTACAGAATTTTGCCTAGATAATGGGTACTATAAATAATAGCTTCATAATCTTCAGTAAATTTTGGATTTTTTTTTGTGAGAACCATTTTCCCCTATCTGCTAAAATAAAGTAGTGGGGAAAGGTTAGATCTATCTTTATTTAAATGTTAATAACTCCGGACTGAATGATCAGAATCCAACAAACGAGGGCTCGTTTAAAAGAGCGTTTCTTACTCTATATTATACCATAAAAATAATAATAATAAGGTTTTGAACGTAGACGCTAGGGGGCGCTTTCTTACAACTTAACAAACATAGAGCGTTTTTTCAAAAAAAGTTAAATACGATAGTATGTGTTATTTTAGCTGATAGTAAAGAGTAGTCAAAGCTTAAAAAGTCAGCGAAAACCGCATCTTTATATCTTCTTTCAAACCGAAGATATTAGCAAAATTATAATAAATACCAAAAAATAAGCTCTTAATTACCTTATTCTTACAATACAGTATCAGTGGCCCTCTTGATTAGGCCCATTCTAACAAAAAAATAAGATACAAACAGTTAGTTTATTTTAAAATCGACGAAATACCAGAATAGCATAATACCACATGTATTAATATCTAATAACTAAGATATTAATGGTTATTAATTCTGGTATACAGAAAAAAGTTGCTTTTTGCGTAATGGTATAAACGTCAAATTGTTATTAGATCAACATTTTGATAGTCTTAGCAGCGTTTTTTTATCTTTTAAATGCTTTTTCAAAATGCCTTTATTATTTGAAGTAGTTGAAGTTGTTGGCATATATTCTATAATATATTATATATATATATATTCTGGTATATCGTCGATTTTAAAATAAACTGTTTCTATCTTATTTTTAAGTTAGAATGGGCATAATCAAGAGGGCTACTGATACCGTGTTGTAAAAATAAGGTAATTAAGGGCTTATTTTTTGGTATTTATTATAATTTTGCTAATATCTTCGATTCGAAAGAAGATATCAAGATGCGGTTTTTGCTGACTTTTTAAGCTTTTACTACTCTTTACCATCAGCTAAAATTACATATACTATTGCATTTAATTTTTATGAAAAACGCGCAATGTTTGTTAAATTGTAAGACAACGCCCCCTAGCGTCTACGTTCAAAAACTTATTATCATTGTTTATATGGTACAATATAGAGTAAGAAACGCTCTTTTAAACGAGCCCTCGTTTGTTGGATTCCCATCATCCAGTCCAGAATTATTAATATTCAAATAAAAACAGATCTAACTTTCCCCCACCACTTTATTTTGGTAGATAGGGGAAAATGGCTCTAACAAAAAAGATTCAAAATTTACTGAAAATTATGAAGCTGTTACTTATAGTACACCTTATCTAGGCAAAATTGTGTAAAAACTCCATTTTCTTATTTTTTCTTGCTGTTGCGCCCCCTAGCGGTCGTTCTACAAACTTAAAAATAACTTCCAGCAATTTCCCATAGCCTCTTTAGTTATAAATATCTTTTTCCGCAGACGCTACGGCTAATACTTTCCGAGATACAGCCGAGAGCTATTCTTAGTGGGACACCCTGTACAATTGATTGAAAATTCAAAATATATGAGAAAAACCTAAAAAAATAATTTTAATAAATCCTCCATAATTATCTAATATGATAAATTGTTTTACCGTATAACCAAAATCTTACAAAAGCTCAAATTTACTGATTTCGGTTTTACAGTAAAAACACGTTATTAAAATGTTTAATATTAAACTATTTTATAATTCGTTTATTAAAAGATTTTAATACGCTACATTACAATGTATCACAGTGACCATAAATTTAAGATCAATCTTTCTTTCGAGGTGGATATCTTTATTTAACAGATTTAAGAATGGTTAAAAAAATATCAATTAGAAATAAATGGTATTTACCAAATTATTTTTACCTTGTTTTGACTTTTATTAAATCTACTGCATTATTTGATGAATTACAAAACCACTAATTTCTTTGTATTAGACGTTTTCACTCCAAGGCTTCATTTCTATTTTGCCATTTGAACAAAATTCAACGAAGCTTAACTTTATTTTATGTATAATACCTATATTATCATAATTATCGGTACTTACTTTACAAACACATTGATATAAAATTTTCTATTTGATATTTTAATCAGTTTTCAAGCTTTTACGCCGAAGCTCTTATGTATAATGTATATTTAGAATATGAAAGCTATTAAAATGCTCTTAAATTTAAATAAACTTCTTAAGGCTGGCTTTGTTTTTAATAAAGAATCTGGGAGAATCTATTTATGCAGTTTCAAAAATATTAATTTTTGCACATTGTTATTTTTCTTAAATATACAATAACATTAGTAGGAGCTCAAGTGTAAAAACAAAATTAATAGTAGACATAGAGCTTGTCCCGTAAAAAGATTCATCTCAACTTACAACTATGGCTGCGATTGAATTGGGTAACCTAATTATCACACATCGAATAACGTAGGGTTCGTTCGAGAATAAAGGAAGTCATATCGAAGCCCTATGGTTGGGGTAGATTGCGGGAGCTGGCACCACCGGACCATGCGGAAGGTGCAGTTCGTGCATTGGCAACACAGGAAGCAGGTGCCTGATTTGGGTGGGGGATCTCCTTACTGTAAACCTACAAAAATAATAACTTTTTATCGTAAAAAATGCAGAAATTGAACTAAATAAAATGCAAAGATATTTTTTAACAATCTTACTTAATCTACCAGAAGCAGCGATGGGCAAACACCCGGTATAGTAAAATTTGGGTAAATACCGAAAGTCTTGCATCCTATATACCGGGTGGCGTCTCAAAAGTGGCTCACCCCTATAATTTTTTTTTTATTTTTTATTTAAAAAAGCAGATTTGGTATGTTAGTATATGAAATAAATTAGGATTGATTGACATATTCAATTGTTTTCGGTCACTTCCTGTTTCACCGGAAATGACTAGAACTTTTGATATTTAAATGGCACCCTCGGCATTTTTTTACTTTGTTCGATAGAAAATAACACTCTGAATAGAATGACATGTCATATGTCAACTTTTGACATTTTCGCATATGGTTTATTTGAAATTATAACTTGCGGTTCGTAACCAACATTTGACTCAAAATACCAAGTGTGTGGTATCAAATTATTCGTAAAAAATGCCATTTCCAAATATGCTAATGAGCCACCCTCGTTCAAAATTGAGATATGATTAAAAATACGATTTGTGCATTTTCTAACTGGCCAGGACAAGACACTAAAAACATTAGACGATCAAATCTATTTTTCCAAAGCTCCATCATTAAGAATTAATGTTTTTAACATAGCCATGGCACTCTAGATTGAATTTTAAAATACGATTTTTTATTAAGCGTCATTCTGTTCAGAATGCCATTTTCTATCGAATAAAGTAAAAAAATACCAAGGGTGCCATTTAAAAATCAAAAGTAGTAGTGATTTCCGGTGAAACAGGAAGTGACCAAAAACAATTGAATACGTCAATCACACCTAATTTATGTCATATACTAACATACCAAATCTCGTTTTTTTATCTGAAGAAATAAAAAAATTATAGGGCTGAGCCACTTTTGAGACGCACCCGGTATACAAATTTTAACAATTTATTGTTAAATTCGACACCTAAAAATCAACTAAAAGTTTACACACTATAGTTTATTAATTATTTTAACCTTTAATTAATGCTTTTCTAGAAAATAAGTGGTCTGTTATCAATTCTCAGCACCAGTGAGTGCTGGTCCTAAATGTCACAGGGGCATTTACATTTTACATGTCACAGCACATGTCCACCCAAACGCCAATAAATAAGTATATAATTGATAATTCATAATGATATTTTTATGTCACACTTTATTAGATCAAATCATGACGTCGTTTTTAGCATGACAACTAGAAGGATAGACTTTATGTACTAAAAATAGTAGGTAAGTTTATTTTTTTTAAACGCCACAAAAATATTAATTTTTGCGACGTGATTGACGATATATAAAAGTCATTTTAAGGCTAAGGCTAAAGTAAAGCACTTTTACGCCTAAGCATAAAAGTACGAAAATTGACATAAAGTGTCAAATTCAACGAGCGTAACCATAGTTTCTCGATATATAATTACATACAAGGTATGACTGTATGAAATCTTTTTATGATATTTGGAACGTTTGAAATTGTTTAAAAAATTATTTGTGGCGTTTGAAAAAAAAACAGCATGTTCTATTCGGAGTAAAGATGATTTTTTGTGTCTCGGCTGTATGCCGGACTCGCTAACGCTCGCCCATCAAAGGTACATCCTTGCCACAAAAGTGTCATTTTTACTCCTAATAAAACAAAATACTATTTATATTTTAAATAAATTGCAATTTATTGTCCACTTTAATTCTAAAAATATGCATTAACTAGTTTATAATAAAAATTAAAAGTAAAATTTTAAGTATGTTTCGAATCTCTTATAACAAAAATAGAATCTTTATTAAAAAATAGAATTTTTTTCTTTACTCTATCGAAAGTAATAACGAAGCCGGTCCCAGACACTACGTGCATTTGGTGAATGTGCGACCATTCGAATTATGTACTGCGGCTTCGGCCACCTTCCCACACGCTACGTTATTTGTAAAAATGCGTCCAATGACAAATATTTCCCGTAGTAGAGCAACGCGCAGGGGAGTGCGCCGGTAAAACAAAAAAAACACGTAAACAAATAGCCGTAGCGTCAGGGAGTAATTCCGAAGTTGACTACGCCGCACAGTGGTGTGAAACTGATAATATAACGAAAAAACCCTATATTTCCTAAACCGTTAATCCAATCGTATTGGGACGGATTTTATTCGATTCAGCTTAATAAAATACATCAAATAACATAGTTTAATAAATTTATTTAAAAGTAAACCGAGCACCAATTGAAACGTAAAGTGAAAATTTTTGCATCAAGTTGAACTTCTTGTATTTTCTGAACTATTGAAGGCGTTTTGAATTGCTAGCCAGATTCTGAAACGCTTTTTTATCGACTGTCGAACCGTTCTTTGCAGTTTATTTAGTTATTGGCCAATACCCATAATACAGGATAAAACAAAAATGCGTGCATTTTTTACAAAATTTTAAGTGACCTCCATTTTGTGGGGGGATGGAGAATTTTCATTATTGGTGGGTATTTTAAAAGAGCTGTTTTATACCTCGGGACGTTTTTGAGTTTTTTCGGGATATCGCTCTTCATTGCGATGTTTTCCTTTTTTATGATTTTCGGTAAGGTTTTAATTCTAATAAATTTATCTCATTATGAAATTAATATATTGTATTTTTGAGTATTATGCGTATTAACTAATGATTATACTAAGTGATTATACTGTATCGTTAATGAAAAAGTGTTAAATGCTTCTTTTGTTATACCAAGATACATAATAAAACCTGTTCATATAATTTAAATATAACAGCTAGATAAATTTTTAACGCCCTGTATAACTGTAACACTTTTTAGTTTTATAAAATTATTTTTTTGCTTTATTTAATTATACATTAAAATGCATAATGCTTAAAAATACGATATCTTTATTTCACAATGAGATAAAATTATTAGTATTAAAACTCTACCGACAATCATAAGAATATCGAAAACATTACAATGGAGAGCGATAGCCAAAAAAACTCATAAACGTCCCGAGGTATAAAACACCTCCTTCAAACTACCCACAAAAAATTGATCTCCTCCATCCCTCCACAAAATGAGGCTCACTTAAAATTTTGTTAAAAATGCGCGCATTTTTGTTTTACCCTGTATTATGGGTCCTGACCAATAATTGAAAAAAACTGCAAAGAACGGTTCAATAGTCGATAAAACGATGTTTTAGAATCTGGCTGGCAAAAATTCCTTCAAAAGTTTAAAAAATACAAGAAGTTAAACTTAATGCAAAAATTTTGCACTTTACGCTTCAATTGATGCTTTTTAGTTTAGTTACACACTGTGGTTCAAATTATTATAATTTATAACATTTAAATCTTATACAATATAATGATATTTATATAATTTTAAGTGGCAAAAAAAGTAAATTATATTAAATGAATTTATCGGCATCCGCAAAAATGAAGAATGTAGTTTTCATTTTTTTCCACACTGTTTATCTTTTATTTTAAATTTTTAACACACATGGCCGAATGTGGCGATCAAATTTATAGAATCACTACTTTAACAGTTGCTTTCTTTAATCAAATTAATCCGAGAACAAAGCTCGGTAAAGCTTTTTTGTTCTAATCTAATTAAAGTAAGAAGTAAAGTAATTTTATTAGAAATAGATTCAAACTAAACTACATCAAAGGCACGGTATATTTTGGCAAAATGATTTTTACTTTTAATGTCCATGGATAAACGAAACAGTTCCTGGGTAATACCGATTTTTAGGAATTAAAAGAAGGGCTGTAAAATATTATTTGTTTTCGCTTTATTTTTGCGCGTTTCGTATATTAAGAAAATTGTCAAAAAGGAGGTGTTGTAAATTCATAACTAGTAATTAAATTAAAAAAGTAATATTATTATATTGTCTTTGAACTAACTCGATGTAAGATAGGATAATTTAAACCCGATTTAACACCCTCTTGTTTGGGGGGGGGTTTTCCATTGCCGAAACCACTGTGCTCCGCACTACGAGCTCCTTTAATTCGTGCCAGTTTACCGACAACCGCCGGGAAAATGACGAAGTACAAATCTTTGTCGAAGGTAACATCCCACACGCTACGCGAATAAGCTCGAATACCGAGTATTCGCCAAATGCACGTAGTGTTTAGGACCGGCTTAAAGTACATTCTATTATTATCGATGTTTTTATTTCTTAATATTGTATGTACAGTTTCCCAAAGAAACTTAATTAACAATTAATATAAAAATTTAAAGTAATGTCTAGAAAGTCGTGTTATAGTAAAGATCTAAGACTTTTATAAAGTATAAAACTTCATAAAACATTTCATTAAAATCATATATATCTGATAATCCAGCCTTACTCTACCTGTGTCTACTATTCGTTGGTATACAACCACAAGGACAGGAACACACTGAGGTATCATCGATATCTATTGAAGTAGTTTCTGTACAATGGTGACCTAATTGACCACTTAATATGGAACCATTTGCAGTGATGACATCACCTTCTAATCGTACAGCACCAGCAAGAGCCTTAAAAAATAAATAATAAAGATTTCTATCAATGTTTACACATAATGTAGGAAATAACAATATAATTCTTTTCCAATCTAATATTTTTCTACAACCATAAAGCTATTATAATTTAACTTTAATATAATCTCTACTGCAAGACAACTATGATAATGTATTCTTTTCTAAAAATATTATTTATAAAATTACTTCACTAATTTTAATAATATAATTTATTAGCATTAATTATTGTTGAAAGTGCATCTTTAAAAATTTATAAAAAAAACATAACTATACAAACCTGATTTGAAAACAAAGCAAATTTGTCATAATTTTAGCTATCATGATGCTCATTTTATTAAATTTTATATATTTTCATATTATTACTGAATAACAGTATACTATTGGTAAACCAAAAATAATTATTTTAATAGTTTTAAAAAATCAGTTAAAAATGCACAAAAAATTGTATAATTATTTACACACTTATCGTTATTTAGAGTTGCCTGCAGTAAATTTATAGATTGATATAAATAATAAAACCCTTCAATGAACTAACTGCAGAATAAAATATATATTTTGAGACTATAATAAACCAAAATTATAAAAGTTAATGACAGAAGACAAGTCAAAATTCAACTAGTCAGAGTGTGTAAGTATTATTCTACCTCTTTTTAGAAATTTCGATCAACTCTCAATATGATCTGAGTTTTAAAGTTTTAGTTGTTTGGAGTTCTAATCGACTATAAACCAATTAAAAACAGCAAATACAACGTACACGTTTATTTTTATTTATTGAAAAGTGGAAATATCAAAGGAGGTAAGTGCCAAAATAATTTTTTCGCTTGGTACTTGTAATTTTTGTTACGACATGCAGCATTGTATTTATTACGTTTCTAATGCAATAAATTATCAATATCTGTCATCATTGACATAAATTAAACATGTTGACTAAATAGTTATTAGATTGAAATAATAAATTCGAAATGTCTTGTGTTAAAAGTTCAACAGAAACTGTTTTATCATCATTTTTTGCAGAAAAATGTATGATTAATTTAAAAAAATAAAAATTTCCCAATTTATTATTTCAGTGAAATTACTTTACAAATTACTTTACTACTCAACGTGTTTATTTTTCGTCAATAATGACATGTATTGACTGTTTCCATTCTAAATATCTTAAGAACGGTTGCTCGTAGCGGTTTTTACAGAGAGATATTTTTTACGTAGAAAGTGTTGGAAATGTATATTTTTTCGCTCGGTAGTTTTATACAGGTACGGACAAAAGTTAGGTTAGGTTAGTTTGTAACTCTACTAGTAGGAGTCATAATGACATCAAAATCAAATTTCTCATGTCAAATAACACCCAGACACCAATTTTCATCCAAATATTGAAGTTATTTCAGAAATTATTTAGAAAAAATAGAAATAAAAATGAAACTTCTACACCCCGTATCTCTGAAACTAAGCATTTTATGACATACATTTATACGAACTAATTTATAAAAAACTGCATTTATTTTAAAAAAATTAATCTGAACAGGTATGAAACGTAACAAGGCAAACCCAAGCAAATGTCAACAAACCTTAAGTTGTCAACCTATGATTTTATCATTGTCAAATGTACCTTTATAGTACTATCTACAATAATGATCGAGAAAAAACGGCGTCAGCGATGGCTATGAAATGAAGATCGCTGTCATTTTATATGAAAATTTATATTGGAAATGTCATCGATCGTCATTTCCCAGCCAACTGGACGCCATTTTTTTCGATCATACGGTACATTATAATACCTACGCTTTGTGTCCCTGAAATGCATTTATGTAATTTCAAACTTTCTCGTATGAGGAAAAATCTGAACGTATAGTAAATACAATTTGACATTCACAAAATCATAGGTTAACAACTTCAAATATGTTAACATTTTATTGGTTGCATTGTCACCTGTTCAGGTTAAATTTAAAAATAGATGCAATTATTCCTAAATTATTTAAAATCGGCTTGTTCAAAATTGATCAAATTTAGCATGTGTAGTCAGCATATGCAGACCTTTAACAAACTCTTTACGGCTTCGCTGTAAAATCAAAACAGGGGAGCCAATATTTAGACAGTTCAAAAATTGCATGCGATTTCCTATGCTTCCAAAAATGATGCACAACCCGGTATATACACCTAACCAAACACTGTAAAATGAAAATATGTGAATTATACCTGTATTGCTTGTGCTTCGTCTCTTCTTTCGTCCTCCGTGTTCATCGTGACGAACCTCAATACTAGAAGATTCAAAGAGGCGGCTACGATGGCCAAGCCGAACAGAATAAATATGAGCGAGAACATGACGTACTCCGGCTTCTGGCTGAGAGCGTTGTCCTTTTGAAGGGCCACCTAAACCAAACAAGCACTTGTACAAAAGTTTCTTTAGCGTGAGAGTCGGTGTATAGCTTGCGAGTCGATCGATTTACCGATATCTCGGTTTGAACCCGGACCCTCTTCAATTTTCATTCAGGCTTAATCCCTTTTTTGAAAGGAATAGGACGGTTGAGTTGCAAAATGTTTGAAAAGGCTATGCCCGAGACGTCGAATAGAAAAATAAAAAGATAAATTTAAATACTGACAATGGTTTTGAAAGACATTGCTTGTAGTTATATCAAATTATATGTATTTATATCATTTTTATTATATTCTATTATTTATGCTATATACAGGGTGTCCCAATATGCCGTGGACATAGAACTACTACGTGTTTTCGGAATCAAAATAAGTTCATTGGATACAATTTACCTGTATACGAAAGTGCTTCGTTTGTCCGTTAGAGGGCGTCAAACTTTAAAAAAATAAAAAATAATTTTTTCAGATATTTAGGAACCGTTATGCCGTTTTGAATGAAATTTTGAGTGTCTATGTTTTTTAAGTGCTTTAACATTTGACTTTCACAAAAATCAAGAAAAAGTACAGAAAAGATGAAAACTACCTTCACCCCTACATAAATTTTAGTATAAATATTTTAACTCTATAACTCGACTGATGTTTTTTTCGTAAAATGATTCTTCTAGGATTTATTACATTTTTTTTTCTCTTGTAAATAAAACCACGCATACTTTTTGAGGATTTTTTTTTCCGAGGCTGATTTCCAAAAAATATTTTTTGTCACATCAAGCTATGACGGTGCACACAATCTATTATGCACTAATCTAGTTAGCGAAAATATAGAATTATATGTTAGTCACACAAATTATATTTGGGAACAAGCTTCATAAAAAGCTCAAAAAAAATTGGCGCCGGGAGGCACGTATAGCCGCCCATACTAAAATATGTTAATAAAAAGTTGGTAGGCAATTCTTTTAGTTTCAAAGTAAAGGAATTTTTCCAATTTTTTTTTTATCTCAAAAACTGCGAGATTTTGTTATTACAAATTTTGTTGCAAATATTATTCCTAATCTTAAACTGAAAACCGCGTTTCGCTAGCTACTGTAATTTTGGAGTTAGGACTTTTTAAAATTTTTAACCCCCTCCCATACCCCCTTACCACCCCCACTCCCATCAAAAACTAATGACCAGATTCTCGGGTGTCACAGTATTTTTGTGCCAAATTTGGTTAAAATCGGTTTAGCGGTTTTTGAGTTATCGTGTTACAGACGAACGGACAAACAGACAGACAGACAAGCAGACACCATGAAAATATTTTGTATTTAGGTCATTTATGACCCAAATAACTCATTTTGAGTGAAATTAAAAAAACCTTTTTTTGCCGATCTTAATAGCCTATCATACCTATTGGTATGGACGGCTAATAATAAATAACTCTAACGGACAAACGAAGCACTTTTGCATGAAGGTAAATTATGTGCAATTAACTTATTTTGTTTCCAAAAATACGTAGTTCTTCTATGTCTACGGAATATTGGAACTCCCTGTATATTTTGTAGGTCTACTTTGGAAAAATAAATTCAACATTTTTTTCTCAAAAACTATGCGATTTGGCGTTTTTTTTACAAGAGACAAAAAATGAGACCATTTTACCAAAAGAAAATCTGTTGTCGGTAGAGTTGGAAAATATTTATACATTTATGTCGGGGTGGAGGTAGTTTTGACCCTTCTAGTACTTTTTCTTGGTTTTTGTAAAAGTCAAATGTTAAAGCATTTAGCAAAACATAGTAACCCAAAATCTGATGCAAATCGGAATAACGGTTCTTAAAATATCTTAAAAAGTTTGTAGCTAAAACTTAGAATGAATTTAGAAGTGCCAGTTAGCAGAAAGTAATGATAAAAAATATCTTTTCTGTTTCATCTGTGTAAGTATATTATATGGTAAAAATATTTTTGTTAGAGGAATTATAATATCATGTCATTATATTTTTATTCAATGTGGATATTTTACATAATAATGTATATTCATATAAAATCGAGTATAAAATGCTTTTCTGTTATAAAAATGTTTACTTCAGTTACTTAGACTTTGTAGTGTACGCAAGCTCTTTGATAGTGCATGCAATAAATATAAACATCACGGTTTACTTAAACTTTTAACAGCTTAATAATGTGGACTTTATCTTCTGATGGGTTTGTTCTCCATTATTAGATACTTTGTTGTATCTGGAATGTAGCTCATATAATTTCTTAAAACTATTAAATGTCAATTAAACAATAGTATATTGTTTTATTAAGAGTAAAAATGCTACTTTTTGTTTGTGAGGCTGTACGTTTGACGTTACAGGCGAGGCACAAAAAATATTTTTCTACGACTAGCCTACAAATGCAGTTTGACACACGGAAAACTCGATCTGAAATTGGCGTTTTGCAAACTGTTGTGTGCTAAGGATTTAGCGCACGACATGTGTCATTTTGCACACGACATGTGCCAATTTTAACATTTTTAACCTCCAATGTTTAGCTGAGACGCCAAACGCAACCCAGCCGTCAGAAAAAGGTCATCATTACATCGCAAATTATTTCACAAAACTGGCAAAAACTGAGTGAGTCTGCTGCTAATTTGTAGTCGTAGAAAAAATAGCGTAAAAAACTCGTTCGAAAACTTCTTTGTACACTCGTTCGACTTGTGGCTCTTGCCTGCGGCTCGAAGCAATAAACTATCGAACTGGTGTGCAAAACGTCGTTTTCAAAACTCGTTGTTTAATATACTATTTCACTCCGCATATAGTATGCAATTATTTTTAAAACGTTCACAAATAATTTCTTAAACAATTTCACACATCGCACATGATATAAAAAGTAATACCTTGTCACTTAATGTCAGTATAATAATAGATTTTTGTATTTTTGTGCGTAAGCGTAAAAGTGCTTTCCTTTTATGCCTAGGCGTTAAAATAACCTTTATTCTGTGTATACATTATTATTATAGTATAGGCATCACGTCGCAAAAATTAATGCTTTTGAGACGTTTGAAAAAAAAACATTTAACAGAATAAATGTCAAAAGAAGAAACTGTATGTATCTGACAGAATAAAAAACCATCTAAGACAAAAGTCACTTGTATAGAGAGCTTTTGAGGCGTAAAAGTCTGTGTATTGCTCTCAATCGATCGATTCGTCTATGGCTTGAATGGGCGCGAATCTCAAGTGTCCTTTCAATTTTTTCTCAAGTTTAATTCCTATTTTGTAAAGAATTAGAGTGGCTCGGCTTCAAAATGTTTCTTTACTGGCGTGAGAAAGTTTGTAAATATTACGGCTAATTGAATGAGAATCACAACAAGTGCGAAGTAAGAAAGAAAAAGTAAAAAAAATTAAGATAATTTTTCTCACAAAAACTATTTTACAGCGCTTTCAGATGTAGCGGAGCGTGCGCGCGGACCGTCCGCGTGTTTCATGAGTTTAAATGAACAATTTCACATGGGTCGCGTATGCTCCGTCCGGATGATTTCATCTGATGGGTATCTTGAAAAAACAAGCAGCACAAAAACAGCGCGGACGGTCCGCGCCGATGCTCCGCTCCATCTAAAAGCTCTATTATACGGTGAAACCACATGCAGTAAAATAAATGAAGTAAATAATTTTATAACATACTATACAACCAACATTGAAATATAAAGATACAAGTACAGCAATAAATATTTAATATCTATAAGCAACTAAGTAAAATTAAGAAAAAAAATTATTTTATATTGGTTTTTGTGAAGTAATTCAAAAATTTTTTGACAAATATATGCAAAATATGTGTAGGAGTGTTCATATATTTATACTAATGTTAAGCGGTTAAGTTGTAATTTTAGGTTTTTTACAAATACCGTATGATCGAAACTTGACGGTGTCATTTTACCTCATCATTTGATCTTTTCATTTGTCTTTGACTTCATCAAAATTATTATCGATCCTAAGTCTACAGCCGCCTTTGACGCCGTTTTTTTTATACGCCGTCGATCGTATAGTATAACAATTTATTTTTAATAAATGCATAAGGTATAATATAGTACTGCATACAGTATTGCAATTAATACAAAACTAATTGAGTATGACATTCGAATTTACTAAACTTAGAGTACCATTAGAAGAGTTTAATTCTAACATATTACTACATTGTATTTTCTTATATTCTTTTACTTTATTATACATATTTAATTTATGTTTCAAGTACTGTTTTTATTTATTCATTTTGTTACTTGTATTATATTTATAGTTTACCGAATAAAACAATTCTGGTATAGCTCCCATGTTTATTTGGAGGATTAATTGCATAGCATACACTTTTCATAACATCTGAAGGTATGATATTCATTTTGTTAAAAATTAAAAATTAAAAGAACTAAGTAATACTACTATTTGGTATAAATTAACAAATAAAATAAACATAGATATACCGTCATATCAAACAGTTTAATTATTAAGCATTTCTTGTATGATAACCTAATATACGAACCGGTACATAAAGATTGAAATAGTTACTATTGAATTAGTTAGGCGATACTCTCTTAAGGTGCGTATTCATTATCCGAACGAACGAACGAATGAAAGTGCGGTATATTTAGACGGGGACCGAACGCATGCGGCCGTTCGTTCGTTCGTTCGTTCGTTCGTTCGTTCGCTCGACCATCCGTTTCAAGTCGGTACATCAAAGGCGTTCGCGCCCAGTGTTCTCGTGCGGTTCTATCGTACGGTCCCCGTCCATACCACTAGCGAACATTCGTTCGTTCGTTCGTTCGGATAATCAATACGCACCTTTAGAAGATTAAAGGTTAGTGATTGGTACTGATGCTCAAATATCTCGATCCCTCAATTCTCGATCCCTTTTTTCTAATCAATATCTAAATTTTCCACCAGCATCTTTTTTCAATATAAAAAGTTACTATTTTTCAAAACAGCTATTATAGTGCTGCGCTGCAGGAATACTTACATTATGACGGCTTATTTTCATCTCGACATTTAGAAGAAAGTTAGAAATGGGCAAACTTTTCAATACCGAGTTGTAATTTTAAGTACTATTTTATTTATTTAATATTAGAATTGTATAGTTGGACGATTTCAAAATACTCTTAACTAACGTAAAAAACAAAGATAGAATAATATCAGGCTCAAATAAAGATACATTTTGCTTCTTAATTTATAAAAATATTTAAAACTTCTAACTACTAATTTTAAATTAGTTTTATTGTATACTGGATACCTGTTAACAAACATTTTTTTAGAACAAAACTAATTTATACCTTAATATTCTTATTGATAATGTTATTATCAAAATATATTACAAGCACGTAACTTAACTAATTTTAATATACTTATTCAATAATTAAATTAGAAGACCTTGAGATTAAATCTATTTATTTCGCATCTCGTTTTGACTAGTCTCACATTATATTAAAAAACAAGTTTAGATATCCTAATATTTTTTTCTATATTTTGACGCTAGGTATAACAGCCGATAAATAATCGATTTTTTAAAATATATTGGCCAATCAAATGAGCAATCATTGTTGATTCCTTGAATTTATATTGCAAACTACATTAGATTTACCACAAAATGTAAAATAGAACTTTTTGTTTCTATGGCATGGCATAAAGTACTAATATTTTACATTATATTAAGTTTATTACATCTAGTTAAAATTAATATTTTTTAAATAATTTATTTCATTACTTATTAAATAAGTAATAAATAGCAAAAATTTAAACCCAGCTCTACTCTTTAATTTTTGGATTTCATTTTTTTTTGTACAATATTAACTCAGTTCGGGTTTATGTTATTACCGATTCTGAACCATTCTAGAACTTTCCATCACATGCGCATATGAAAAAATTGCTGCATATTTCCCTTCTGCGCAAGCGTATCACAGTTCTGGGACGGTCTAGAATCGGTAATAAGAAAGCTAAGTAAGCTAATGTCTTACCATATCTCCAAACCCTATCGTAGTGAGAGTGATGAAGCAGTAATAGACTGAATCGAAGTAGCTCCATCCTTCGTAGCGTGAAAATGCAGCCGCACCACCCAAAATAGTCAAAGATGATAAAAAAGTCACTACACAAATTAAGTCCAACTCGGAAGCAGTCGTTTGTTTACAGTTTAAAGAAGACCGCACTGATCGAATTATAACACTGAAACAAATAAATTATGTTAAAGTCTTATAGAACTAATACACAGGGTATATCTTAAATAAGTGTAAGTAGTTTAAAATAGTAGTATATTTTGATCTCTTAGAAACACGCCAATGAGAAATTTTTGACAGTGCCTTGCAATGATGCCAGGTCGGGTACTTCGGTATTACTTCATTATATAATTTTAAACTAGAAGATGACTCCTACTTGTAGAGGGCACCACCTACATATTTTTTAACTGGTTTCAAGAATAATAACTTTTCGTCCGTACCTGTATAAAACTAGTGAGTAAAAAATATACATTTACGACGTTTTTTACGTAAAAAGATCTCTTGATAAAAATCGCTACGAGTAATGGTCCTCGAGATATTTGAAATCGAAATTATCAATACCTTCTTCATTGACATACATTAAATATGTTAACTAAATAGTTATTAGACTTAGATTGAAATTTATGATTTCAAATTTGAAATGTTTTTGTGCCAAAAGATCAACAGAAACTGTTTTATCATAATTTTTTCGCAGAAAAAAATTTATCATTAATTTAAAAAAACAAAAATTTCCCGAATTTATTATTTCAGTCAAATAACTATCTACTCAACGTGTCTATTTTTTGTCAATAATGACATGTATTGACAATTTCCCTTTTAAATATCTTGAGAACGGTTGCTCGTAGCGATTTTTACCAAGATACATTTTTTGCCTAAAAAATCACGAACATGTATATTTTTCCACTGAGTAGTTTTATACAGGTACGGACGAAAAGTTATTACTCTTCAAAACTGTTAAAACATGTGTAGGTGGTGCGCTTCAAATAGGAGTCATATTGACATCAAAATCAAATTGTTCATGTTAAAAAACTTTCACACACCAATTTTCATCCAAATATTGACGTTACTTCAGAAATTATTTGGAAAAAATCGAATTAAAAATGAAACTTCTACACCCTGTATCTCCGAAACTAAGCATTTTAGGCCATACATTTGTACGAACCTTTTTACTTATTTTTATCTGCAGAATATGCTGTCGTATGCAGAATATTATTGACTTGAATAGACCGCTACTGGTTTAAAAAAAATCCTAGGTATACAGTAAAATACAGCAAAACAAAAATTAAAAATTATTTATTATAACAAAGATAATAAATAATATATACAAAATTATTAATAATCGCATATCTGTACCCTAGAAGCAAACTATAGTAATCCCAAAATTGCCATATTTGAGTAATATAGGTTAAAGTTACTTAACTTTTTATGCTCTATTCTTTGCGCGTCTGTATATATCTCGTTTTATCACTATCTGTAAGGATAAATAAAATACTCTGTTTAAAATCAAATTAAGTCCAATGCGGGCCCCCAGCTAAACAAAACTTTAATTTCGTTTTTCCAGAAACTATTTTGTGACTTAACAGTTTGCAATTACAAAGAAACATAATTAGGAAGGTCATGATCTACATTTTGTCATTTCAACAGTAGCTAATGTTGCCTATTTGTTATATAGAGTAAGTCTTAAATAAATGCAAATATTTTTAGGGGTGGTATACTAAACCCCCAAAACAGGTATGTGATGGGGCTCATCTTTGGATCCAACCCAAAAACATATTTCTATTATCGAAATCTACTAGCTCTGAAAATATTTACATTTATTTAAAACTCGTCCTGTATAATATTAGTAATTGTTTATAAATTATGTGTAAAATATACACACATATTTATACAGGGTGGCGCCACTCATACGCCGCGGAAACTCCAAGGAGAACGATAGTTTATATCGAAATTAAATTTTGGCAGCATATGTAGGTTAACTGGAAGCATTTTATAAAAATATATAGAATTATACAGGGTGCCCCCAAAAAAAGTTACACATCAAAGTTGTGTTCTTTCTAACGGAACACCCTATATTAATTGATTTTCGGATACTAGAAAAAAAATAAAGGTGAGTTTTATTAAAGAAGCATATATGTACCTAAAATCTCAGAATTTTGACATATTTCACGTTTTGTGAAAATGTAGAGTAAATTTTAAATTTGAATAACAGCTACCTAAATTTTAGTTGACTTTGTATAGCCTGATATTTAATTACAGTAACCATTGTATGTTAAACCAAATTGAAATTTGACCTGAAAATTTACACAGGGTGAGACAAAATTAAAATGGACCATTAGTCACTTTTAAAAGCAAGTTACTCTTTTATTTTAAATAGAACACCCAGTATATTATTCCGGTGTTCAATGGGGAATTGATATATCTTCGAAATATTATTAAGGTTTGGTTGTGAGAGGTAGGCTCTCAGACAAAGATTTTCCTAGATATTTTCATTTTTATGATTTTGCGTCAGTAGATCGTTATTATTTGATATAATATAGGTGGCTGTGGATATACTTTTTGTTAATTTAACAAAAATTAAAGGATTTAGAGTAAAACATTCATCGGTAATAAAAAAATACACGTTTAAAACATATTTTAATTATCACACAATTAAAACTCGATATAAACCTATAATTATGTGACAAAAATTAGCTAATGAAATCAAATGCTCAAAATGCTTCCTTTCCTGCTAACTGCATAAAATGATTGTCTATTCAAAAGGATCTTTTTATTTTAAAAGGCATATGTGAAGTTCCTCGAAAAGCAGCTACAATAATTTCTCTCATATTATCGACAATAGTTGGTGGAGTTTTTTAAACACTGTCTTTAACATATCCTCATAAAAAAACCTAAACTAGATAAAATCAGGAGCATTTAAGTATTCTATTAGTTGATGAATGCAGTTCAAAAATGAATCTGCAAAACAGATTCATTTAGTTTTTTCATAAAAAACTAAATGAATCATATCGTTGATTGAAAGAATGTATATCAATTCTCTCTGATGTAGGATAAGTTTGCATTTTCGGCAAATTTCTGAGATTTTTTTTTGTTTTAACTGACACAAAATGATAACTAGTTGTTAAAGTTGGACTAATTAGATAGCTATGTTGAAGTATCGTCAGACATATCAGAGCCACCTAGATTTTATCAAATAATAAAGATCTACTCAGATCAAATCATGTAAATGAAAATATCTAGGAAAATCTTTGTTTGAGGGGTAGGCAACCTTAATAATATTTTGAAGAGACATGCATTTTCCACTGAATATCGGAATAATAACTGGGTGTCCCATTTAAAATAAAAGAGTAACATGCTTTTAAAGGCGACCAATGTTCAATATTAATTTTTTCTCACCCTGTATAACGTTTTGAATCAAGTTTTAATTTGATTTAAAATACAATAGTTAATTTAACTACATATTAGGCTATACCGGGTAAATTCCAATTTAGGTCGCTTTTATTGTAATTTAAAATTTGTTCTTTATTTCTAGAAAATGTTAGATATGTCAAAAACCTTACATTTTAGTCATATACTTCTCTTATAAAACTCACCTTTATTTGCTCCCAGAATTCTAAAATCAATTAATATATAGGGCATTCTATTAGAAAAAACACAACTTTGATATGTAACTTTTTTTGGGGACACCCTGTAGAACTCTCTATATTTTTAAAAAGTGCTCTGAATTAACCCACATAAGCTCACAAAATTTCATTTCAATACAAACTGTCGTTCTCCTTGGAGCCTCCGCGGCGTATGAGAGGCGCCATCGCCACCCTGTATTATTACAGAGCAATGTATAAAAGACTAGATAGTAGATTTTACTGCTCTTCTCATAATATATTCTTATGATTAAAAAACAGTTATCAAAAAAAATAGTAACAGGTAATAGAACAGTTATTAAGTTAAATGTTAGAATTAAAATGCGATTTCACCGCATTCATAATCTAGTTAATTTGTGGATGAACCGGTAGAGTTAGTAGAGAATCTCGCTGTTCTCTAGACCACTTTATAATTTAAATGAGAAAACTTTAAGCTATAAATTAATTTTCGACATATTAACCATTAACGGCTCAAAATTTAATTAACATTACGGCATACCTGCTAAGTTTGTTAACTCTTTCGCCGATGCTCTGGAACATAACTAATCCTAGTGGAATTCCAATCATGGCGTAGACCATCGTAAACAATTTTCCAGATACGGTGCTAGGAGTGGAGTGGCCGTATCTGGAACAAGAAGGTTAATTTATTCCATAATTATGTGTTAAAGAGCAAATTGGTTTAATTTAGGGCTCTCCATATATACCGTTCATTTATTAAATTTCGTGCTTCAGGGAATTGCATTGCCATTAAGAGTAACGGTAGATTTATTATGCAATATTTGTAAATAATAGTATTGTATTTATTTTGCTCTTTTTTAAGTTATTTGTTTCACTTTAGTAAGTGAAATCCAAATACAAGCCTCTCAACCTAGGACAAAGATGAACCTATTTAAAAAAAGAACATATGAATCAAATCCAGAATTACTATTAATACATTATTTGATATATCTCATATATACACTTCGTAAAACTTAAAAAACAATTTTTGGTAGTTGACTTAAAAAAATACAATGGCTAAAATCAAAAGTAAGCTAAACTTTTACTAGTTTGTCTGTACTTGCTTTATTATAAATTTACTGTATCGTGCTGTTGTCCAATAAAGGCAAAAGTGTAAAATCTATTGACACACACTGCTCATTCACGCTGGTTCGAGGCCATATGAGATCGGATATCTCGTGAGTAAGAGTCGATTTAGACACCTGCCAAGTCGGTAGACTATTGACCATGATATGGCCGAGGACCGCGGTTCGGATTCCGCGTAAACAAAGTAGGCCCCGTCCAGATTAGCCCTGGCAGCAAAAAGGAGACGTTAAGTGAAATCTCTACTTGTATATTTTTTGCGAAAAAACTAAAGATATGTTTTTATCCAGAATTAAATCTCAAATATATTACTTCTATTTTTTTTCTATGTATTCTTGACTTGATTCCACTCCATTTCAACTGAAAAGTGGAAAATTTTAAAAGTAATTCTAGTAAAAACTAATTCACGTATCTAAAATAAAAATAATTCAGCGTGAAGAGGCCACGTTATAACATTAAAAGCGAGGCCGCTACTGATCCCCAGTAAAATATCAGCCACGTGAAGACTACCGTGTAGGAGCGCATCGGACAATGCTTTGAACGTTGGAAGGTCCTTTGACGCGCGTAAAATTTACCGACAAGAGCACAAACTTGCTTCCGACGTTAAGGTAGGATGTTTTACTTTCCGACAATGCGACAACGACGTGCGACACTGCGGTGTGCCGTAAATTTAATCTGGCACTTATCAAATTAGTATGTTGTTTAACCTATCGACTTGCGGCAGCGATATGGCGGCATCGCAGATGTCGCTGCGGCATGTCGTCGAGAAAAATAAAATCTTTTCTAAACGACATCGCAGCTAGTACTTTTGTAGCATCCACCGCATGCATCGGCGTCGGTCTATTTGGAGTTTTTGGCGGTTAAATTATTTGTTTTTTTTCTGCCATGTCACAAACATGGGATGATGACTTCGACGAACGTTTAGTAGATTGTGTACGTACATTTCCAGTTCTCTGGGAGAGGAAAAGAAACTCATATAAGGATAAGGTGGCCAAAGACAACGCATGGAAAAATATCTCGGAGTATATGTCAGAATGTTTCTGAAAAGGTTCAGGAGCGTGAAATAGAGCTAAATTTTCTTTTTCTTCGCCATAAAGCAAAAGAACCGCAGCAATATTACGACGAATAGTGTTCATCTTAATAAACTGCACTGCTTCGAACGACTTGCTGAACTGAAGTGTCGCATGGTAAGAAAACACGTTTGTCGCAAACCCGCAATCCGCGTCGCCACAGTTTATCGCACGTCGTTATTGCATGTCGCAGTGTCGGAAAGTAAAACATCCTACCTTTAGACACATGAATCTCTGCGCGCCCACACGATGTGACAAGCGACCGTGCGTCCAACGTTGGAAGGTGCGACCACATCGTGTAGGACCGTCTTAACATACAGCTAGCACTCCCCACTCCCGCCTAGCATCGGGCTACGATGGCGCTGGCCGATCCGTCGCCGTCGCATATTATATAACCGGGAACTAGTTCCTTTCGTGCTGGGGTCGGAGTAGTTCATTGGAATTAGTTCGTTCAAGAACTACACACCTCTAGTAAAGCTAGAACTAAAATGCTATTTCTAGACCTGCTATGACATCTGTATCATTTAATCTTACATTACTATCCCAACTAGCATTTATAGTCGCAGATACGTAACGGCTACTATCAAAGCCACTACAAAGTGGGCGATGTGCTAGTGAACTATATTTGCTAGTGAGTACACTAAAATGGGGAAAGATTTTGAGTAGCCGGGTAGTGTCTGGGGTAGTTTTTTCCACTAAAAGAGTTACTATGATGTGTGACTATAAAGTAGCCTACTGGTGAATGCGACTTATCTGTTACGAAGCTGCCTAATCACGGGTTCGTGGCAGCGAAGTGTTATCCACCGACATGTGGAGCTTTCGTTAAACTGTTAAACTTTATTTGCAGCGACCTCTTCATGCAATTTCACATTTCATAAAAATAAATGTCATGATGGAAAATAATTATGGAAGTCATTATTATTTTTTCGTTATTTACGAAAAAATAACGAAATTTTTACCCGATTTTAACGCCTTTTTTAGGTAAATTCCAGAACGCAATCGACTTTACTGAATAAAATAGTGGGTTTATATGACAAAATTTTCGAGCGCCTCTCAAAATATTTCAAATTATTATATTATTCGCAATAGAAACTCATGTAGTAATTAAAAAATAATAATAATTTGCTTGAAACTGGGGTCAAACTAAATATTAGTCTACCGTCAGAAATAACAAAATAACTAAGGAAAAAAGCTTTAATCTAGGTATATTTAGCTTAAAAACGCATAATGTTTGAGCCATTTGGCTGTTCGTCTAAAAAGTCATGAAAAAAATATGGGCGTTTAATCTGAAAAATACTTTATAGTTTCATATGCTTCCACAAAGTACCGGGAACAATAACATATTAGGCCAACCCTACCCGTTTGGACCTTTAAAATCTTCGGATTGATGTGACAATTGTAGCTACCCAAAGGCGACTTTATAGAAACAATAACTTTTTTGGAACTACATGGTCAACGATTCTTTGAAACCATAATGTGATTTTTTCCAAGAAAGTTCCCTGCGCCACCAAATTGACACTTAATTGGAGCGTTATGCTACACCGATCGCGGCGGTCGCGACTATACATTCCATTGTTGCCACTATAACGTTCCGCCTTGCCCTTTGAAGTTCCCATTTGGCGACGCGACGACGCGAATATGCCAATTCAATACAGAATAAGACGGCATTAAATTTTTAAGTGAACATTGTTGTTTACTTTACTGTGCATTTATGATGTTCGTCAGTAGGATTATAGAAATATGTAGTTTTTGTTTCTGATAATGCTTCGGCCCACAGTGATTCCTTTTGTTTAATTCTTCGTTAGGAAGTACTAGAATATCTAAATTTCTTTTATTCGCCATAGGCATTTTACAAAATTTTAATAAAGCTCACAACCAAACCAAAGCAAGTAAAAGAAAACACTAAAACAGATCAGCACACGATGCAATCTGAAGGAATTACATTTATTAGGGTATATTAATTTATAGTCACTATAAAGTAGCTGTTTTTGATCCTCGTGACTTTTTAGTGGCAATGGATGAGCGACGGCTAGGTTAACCATTTGCTACTAGATGTCGTGGCCGCGACTACCCCGTAAATTAAATTGTTACTATAAAGTAACAAAACTTAATGGAGGCATTATGGTAGCACTTGTTAGTAACCCCTACTTTGAAAATTTACTATAAAGTTTTTGATCTTTTATGGTGTCATATTAGAAGATTCGGGTAGTTCCAGCCACTTCTTTAAATTACATGTTTGCGACTTGCAATCGGGATGTTTATTTTCCACTTTTATGGTAGGTAGGCACTAACTGGTCACTCTCGAAATATACTTCAAAGTAACTATTCCTTATAGAGTAACATTTTAAGTGGCAGACTGGGAACTATATTTGCTAGTTGGGATTAACTCATATTAACTTACTACACGGTTTTCTCTAATCCCTCTCTTTTCTACTAGTCTCCTTGATATAGGTCCTAATACCTTGAGGGTAGTTACATCGACAAAGTTAAACTTCGACCGCAATAAATCCGGTTCGTTTGGCGATTCGGTCCTTCGAGCCGGCTATCTGTGCTGCCGTACACTTAATTGGGAATAATGAAGCGGCCGAAGAAAGCGAAGCTAAATAATTGCTTAATACAGCGTTCGGAAACGTACCCTATTGTCGTTAAGACGGTGGTGGCGTAGTAGAACGCGCCGGTGAATTTCCATTGCTGGCCGGCCCTGTGCGGTTCCGATTTCAGCACGACCGTCTCCATTATCCGGAAGTCCTCGTCGCTTATATTGTATTTGCGTCGAATAATCACATGGATTTCTGGAAAAGAACAAATTATCTGTGTTAAAATATGTATTAAAACCAAGTAAAATAAACGTTAAGAACATTGAACATTGTATCACCATAATAATAAACCAACTAAAATTAAAGTTACAAATTGATTTAACATAGAAAGTATTTGATATTTTTAAATTTAAACAATAATGCCAGGTAATATGATTTTGCGTTATTCTAGAGGGTGATATTAGAAAGTTTTAAAAAGCAAGCCTCCTTTTTACCTATAGATCATACGAAATAAACTTTAAGTCACATACGATTGACCTTGACCGGTCAAGCGTTGCCGACTTTTTCATATTATCTTTCAATCAAAATATTTTAGTAAATAAAAATGAATTAAATATAAATATACAGGGTGAGTTTCCTACGATGTTCTCTGTGGGTATCTCGGAAACTACTGGAGATAGAGAGTCGGTTAAATAGGGAAAGAATTGCAGTTTTGTGGGGTCATAAACATGCACCTTTCAGATTTTTGAAAAAGTTCATGGCTTCAAGAAAATTTCAGATAAAAGTTGTAGATAATCACATCCTTAATGAAATTGTGTCCTCCGTTTTTTTTCTAAAGCCTGTCATTTTTGACATATCACACAAACATATTTTTTTTAAATGGAAACCATAGTTGGCCATGAGTTCATAAAAAGCGCTATTTTTTAAGCTTTTCAGCGATATAAGCTATTATATGTTACTTTCGAAAAATTACTGAGGTATAGCCAATTCATATCATTTTTAAACAATTTCATTTAAAAAATGTCTATACCTATGTGGCGGATTTATCTCTCCAAAAAAATCCTTTATGGGTATTTCGCCACTGCACTGCAAGAAAATCTACAAAATAAAATAGTTATTATTTTTATACACTTCTGCGTTAAACTTAAACGGACGCTGCTTGTCAGAACTTAATAGTTTGAATTTAAATATTTTAAATAGTTTTTTTTTTTATTCTTTGTATTTTTTTTTGCTTCTGACGACGGAAAGAGATAGCCTTTCCGAAATGTTAAGCATTTTTTTCCTTGTTAGGCAAATTTGTATAACTGTAAACATAACTTCTGACAAGCAGCGTCCGTTTAGATTTAACGCAGAAGTGTTTACAAAAATAACTATTTTATTTTGTAGATTTTCTTGCAGTGCAGTGGCGAAATACCCATAAAGGACTTTTTTTGGACAATTTCATTTAGCTAGCCATAGAAGCAAGTTCAATCGTTGGATTATCGGTTCAACTTTTCTTGACCATACATTTACGTTTACGAGGATACGTTGACCGGTGAACGTTACTTAAGTTTTTTAGAAAAGTTAAATTTAGATATTCGCGCATCGATAGAGTGGTTCCAACATGACTTTCATTATGATACTCCCCCTCATAATGAAAGAAATGTTCCAAATTATTTATATCATAATTATGCAAACTCAGGGATAGGAAGAGGTGGACCAATTGCATGGGCTTCCTCGATCACCTGACCTATCCATTTTAGATTTTTTTTATGCTGTACGGTTAACAACAAGGTTTACAAAAGAATTAATGAACTAAGAGAGGCATTCGAAGAGGCGGTACGGGAGAAGTTTATTAAAGTCGACCGGCCGTTCTGTGGGAAAAGCTTGTAATTCAGTTTTAAAAATATGCATTTTGTGTACTCAAAACAATGGCATTTTTTTTTGAACATTTGCTAAAATAACTCAAAGTGTATGTAGTGATATTAGTTTTTTTAAGTTTTAGTTTGTGTAATGTAAATTGTAAAGAACCGTTAAATAAAATATTCTGTCTTTTCATAAGTAATAAATCATAACAGAATAAGAATACCATGCCAACTAAGTGAAATTAGTCAAGAAAGATAAGAATTGGCTATAACTCAGTAATTTTTCGAAAAAAACTTATTATAGCTTATATCACTGAAAAGCTTAAAAAATGGCGCTTTTTATGACGTCATGGCCAACTATGGTTTCCATTTAAAAAAACATATGTTTGTGTCATATGTCAAAAATGACAGGCTTTAGAAAAAAATGGAGAACACAAACTCATTAGGGATGTGATTATCTACAACTTTTATCTGAAAACTTTTTGTCTAAAATAGATTATAATGGAATTATGGACAATTTTTAAAATAGCCGAAATTTTTTTTTTTCGAAATATCTAGTAAGCCATGAACTTTTTCAAAAATCTGAAAGGCGCCACAAAACTGCAATTCTTTCCCCATTTAACCGACTCTATCTCCGGTAGTTTTCGAAATACCCATAGAGAACATTGTAGGAAACTCACCCTGCATAAACAGTTATTATTTACATCAAGAAAACTAGCCTCCTTAACAGCACTTAAGAGTCATAAAGAACCATTATTTACCACTTTCCCGTTTAAAACACTCTAATAAGGTAGAGATTAGTTTTTTTTTGCAACGGCTGTTAAGCTGCTTCGGCATCTTGTACACTATGCACTACAAGCGGTTCTAAAAAGAACAATTTTTGACTGCAGTGTCCTACTATTTTCAGCTTAAAATATTACAACACAATTCACTTAAACCAAAAATTCATAATACAAAACTAAGTGTCAAAACAAATCAAAATATCAGGAAACAAATAAATAAATGTGGTAACTTGACATATTTTACAGCAGAGCTAACACCTGAATCGGCAGCGGCAAATTTAAATTCCTGTTAGTTAGCCAGGCCCCGAATATGTCCATGGTTGGCAATAATGAATTTAATATTCGCGCTCTCAATGACGTAACTAAAAGTTTATTTGGTATCAATTATATGTTTGTCTGTTTTATTGCCCATGATTCTGAGGCATAGGTTAAAACTGGAATCATCAAGCAGAGCATCATTTTTTAACGCTAGTAGGACATAATCTTATCTTGCCAGATTATGAGCATCAAAAGATAGATGCCGCAGGAGATATCAGGAGACTCTGGTATGTCAGTATGTTGTAATTTTGCTTATTATTATTATTTTGCTTATTTGCTTAATTTCTTTGCTTAAAGAGACTCTAAGAACAGCTGTTAAAAAATCTTGACAAATAAGCTATTATTAGTGAAGAAAAAAGTTTGCAAAAATCTAAAAATTTTTTGGCCAAGGAATGTTTGCTCGGTTTTTTATTGTCATGAAATATGACAAAATTCAAACAAGTTGCAAAATGTGATAGCTGTCGATTTTAGCTTTTAAATGAACTTTGAATAACCAAATAAGTAGATGCCTCAGGAGATATCAGGAGACTTTGATATGTCAGAATCTCCTGACTGCGACTTTTGCAATGTTTTGACACAGATACTATCAAATATACTGTTATTATGTTCTTTTAAAGTGATCTCCCAATTGATGGCATGTTTGAACTTAATAGTCAAATAGACGGTTATTTTCTTGCGATTTTGCAATAAAAGTGATATTGGTTGATTGCACTTATGCCCATTATACAGGCTATGTCTTAGTAGCTAAGGAACCAGTTAGGAGAGACTAGTTCTTTGATTTTTTATGTCCTAGGATTTATAAAATGTATGGATTATCTTAGTTGTCTTTCCTGTAGTACTCCTTGTGGCTTTGGAATGTTATCCTGAATTCTTTTGAATTTATTCTTACATACATACATACATACGTACATTAATTATTCTTATTGACCCTACAAACTACAATACTTCTTATATAAAATATTTTACTCTTGTGCTTTAAATTTAAGGGTCATACCGCAATAAAGGACTACTGGAAAACTGCATTTATTCAAACCCTATAAATATCTCAATTTTCTTTTCATTAAGCAAACATTGGAAACCTATAAAGTCGTTTCTCGTCAGAGATTCCAATTTGCTATGTCATACATAAATGCATTTCTGCAACTGAATAAATTTACATTACTTTAACTTTCTATTATTAAGTATAACTGGCGTATAACGATGAGTTTTTTATTAGTGTCTTATTTTGACGTCGTGATGATAAATAATATAATATGTATAAAATAGGTGTAACCATTTGATAAAATTATAATAAGTTATCTTAAAAAGTTTGCTTTTACATATTTTACCGGGTTAAATAGGGTAATAGCCGTTTAGTTTTAAACTATCATCATCATCATGTAGCCATCGTTGTCCACTGCTGAACGTAGGCCTCCTCCATATTTCTCCATGTCTCTCGATTTTGGGCCGTCATCATCCAATTTCCAGCAATCCTCTTTACATCATCGGTCCAGCGTGTCGGTGGTCTGCCTCTGCTACGTTTATCTGCTCGAGGTCGCCATTCTAACAATCTTCTAGTCCACCTGTCTTTAGATGTTCTCGCCACATGACCTGCCCATCTTCATTTCATTCGAGTTACGTGTTCCACTATGTCTTTAATTTTGTTTTTTTGTCTGATAGTGTTATTAGGAATTTTGTCTCTTTTAGTTATTCCAAGCATGGATCTCTCCATGGCTCTCTGGGCTACTCTTAAATTTTCTGCTGACTTTTTCGTTAATGTTAGAGTTTTCGCTCCATATGTAATTACAGGCAAGACGCATTGTTCATAAACTTTCCTCTTCAAGCATATGGGTATATCACTTTTAAAGGTCTCCCGCAGTTTGCCAAAAGCAGCCCAACCCAAACCTATTCTGCGCTGTATCTCGTGTGTTTGGTTGTTCTTTCCGATTTTTGTATTTCGTGCCCGAGATATTTGTATATATGTGTTTCTTTTATGTCGGCGTCACCTATTCTGATGTTCTGTGTCAGCACTAAGTTTGTCATTATTTGCGTTTTACTCGTATTTATCCGGAGACCGACTTTTAATGAGGCCTGCACTAATTCTTCGAGCATATGTTTTAAATCTCCGATGTTATCTGAGACAAGGACGATGTTATCTGCGAATCTGAGATGTGTCAACCTTTCACCATCGATATTTATGCCCCTATTCTCCCAAGAGAGTGATTTCATTGCGTATTCAAGGACAGCTGTAAAAAGTTTAGGCGAAATAGTATCCCCTTGTCGAACTCCTCTGCCTACCTCAATTTTATCTGTTGTTTCGTGAAGTTTTACA